CTGGATTTTCGACGAACAAACCTATTGTCTTCCCTACAAGGCCTTTTCAGACTGACCGATTCTCAATACACTCAAATAGAAACCAATACACATAAAAAACGCTGTCAAAATTTCCCTTCAATTTTAAGGCAGTAAAACAACGACCTTAAGTTAACATCAACCGAGGCCATATGTTGACAAGGGATGCAAAATCACAGTTACACAAAAGAACTGGTCAGATTTTTCAGAAATCCCTTCAATTCTGATGTAAAAAATGATACCAAAAGACTGCAGATCTCCCATTTAGATGACCGGCAGATGTCTCGTAGGATTCCCGGGGAGTTTTGCTTTACATAGAAATTTGTGCTCTTTTATTTTCATTTTGACTCACTTCAGTGTTGGTCCCTTTAATTCAAGTTGGCATTCGGTTTTTGGAATTTAAATAAGTTCTCAGCAAAAAAGTTTGTTTAAAAAAATACGCATACGTGACAGTCGTACGTTTCAATGTGATACAAAAAAGGAATACCATTTGTTTTCTTTAACTTTTTTGGCATTTGTATAGCACAAACATAGCTCTATATTTAACCGAAAAATGAAAACAATCGAATTGCTTGGTGCTGAAATATAAGCATTTAAAGAGAGTGTCGTTCCGTGACAAAAAATTGAAGTTGATTTTTTCTTCTCTTACAAAATCGCAAAACTCTGCGAATTGTGGATGGCTATTTTCATGAAACTTATTTTAATATGATTTGGAGCAATTCTAGTTGTTTTTAGAGTTTTTTGAATTAATGCAACTTGTTTCAATTTCCATCGTTATATTTTTATTAATATTGCTTTTAAATGAATTTTTAACGTAAATAAAACATGTATTTTATGTCGAATATACTTTATATTTTCACTTCAGCGCCAATTCAGGGTCAGTTTGCTGGAAATCTATGATTTATTATGTTTCAACTACATACGCCAAATTCGAACCGAATCGGACCATAAATACGGTTTTTCGAAATATCTCGACCTTGGCGCCACCTAGGAAGACCATTTTACTCAAACATGATTCTACTTTTTTAAAAAGCAGACAAATCGGTCTGTAAATACGTTAGATATAAGACTTTTATTTTTTTTGTCGTGGTGGACCTTCCGATGGAAACACCCATATGTGTACATAGTGCTTCAAAATATCAATTTTTCCCTTACCTTAAACCTTTGGGAGTGGGCAAAAATGATGTTTTGTAATTTAGGCAGAATTGAATATGCGCTTCCCAGATGGAAGACAATATCTACATGTAATATTTATTCTGTTTGTTGGCACTATATCCAAACACAAACGCATCTTAAGTGTCTTAACAGTGAAACATTTTCTTATTTTTTAAGTTTCCGAATAAAACTTCACACTTAAAATTAAGACATTTATAACAAACATTTTATGAAGAAAATCCCTTCTTCGTTTAAAATAAAAATAAGCGAAATCGGCCCAATTTCATACAACCCTGCCTGACATGAAAATTTTCTCCTCGATAAGGCTAGTAGCCATTTCTAACAGATTTTGGGTCGCTTAGTCAAAAATGGAAACATATATACATATTTGAAATTTAAGAAAACAAGGCAAATAGCAAAATCGGTCAAAAACGGCTAATTTTTTTTCTGCAAAACGGATAACAAATCGGCTGCCGGCTAAATCAAAATTTCTCCGGCTGTTTGCTATCGCAACCGGCTAAATCTAGCCGGAAAATGGCTAAAATGGCAACACTGTGCACCACTGACCTATGTACATGTTTATATGTATGTGCATGCAATGTATGGCGTTTGCATATTGCGGTGGCTGAGTTATTGTTTACCTACGCGGTATATTCTGTTGCTCTAACAAAAGGTTATTGTGGGATCGCCAACGCATACTATTTTGTTTTGTCACTCAGGCACTTATAGCGTGTGGCTATCCGCACAGAAAACAATAAAAATAGAAAACAGAAGAATATATTAAAAAAATTCGTATGCGTAAGTACTTTATATTTTTAGCACACATGGATGCAAGTATGCAAAATTATTTTAATTATCTGTATGAAATATATCGTTGAGATATTCTCGCGATTAGATGCAAAGATACAGACATTTAGATGTACTTTGATTATCAATATTCGTATGCAAATGTGTGAATGCATCTTGTTGTTTATTTAGGTTTAAATTATATCTGCATAACACAATGGAAGTGTATGCGCAGTAGTTTAGTTAGATATTAAGATTTAAGAACTTTTGTAAAAGTAAAGATCGCTACTTTATAGCGTATGATTCTCTAAGGGAAATTAGATGGGTTCACTTCGATCGGACTAGCATCTTGCGTTTTAAATATCTGTATTTACTTAATTCAGGGTATGCAAAAACTCGTATATACCCATATACAGTATCGGTCATATCTATAGCACGCCATTTCAAAGTGATATTGTGTGCCACTTATGTATATTCATTTATTTTTAAGAATTATATTCAACAATTTATATTGAGCTCGAGGCCGTTTTTTAAATGAAAATTTATTGTGGAAAAGCAACAATAATTTGAAAAAATGGTAGAAGTGATAGCTATTTCGGAAATCACCACATTTCCTCATCAGACTTCTTTCAGTAGGATTCGAACCGACGATCCCACTGACTCAGCCAGTTGCCTATGCACCGTGCTAAGACGCCTTGTAAATTATCGTTTGCTTATTTCCACTATTTTCATTTTTGTTATGCCAACACAATCAAGCGCAGCTATTCCGCTGCAATTCACTTGATCATGTGGTTGTTGGTTTTGTTGGTTTGTGCTAATAATTCTATTTTTAGAATGCTTAACTTTTAGGTGTGCTCGTCCTTAAGTTATTTGTTTTTTGTTATTTTTTGGCCTTTTAACAATTATATTCAACAATTTTATAATGAGCTCGAGGCCATTTTTTAAATGAAAATTTATTGTGGAAAAGCAACAATAATTTGAAAAAATGGTAGAAGTGATAGCTATTTCGGAAATCACCACATTTCCTCATCAGACTTCTTTCAGTAGGATTCGAACCGACGATCCCACTGACAACTGGCTGAAAACAAATTTTCACCTAAATTTCAAACTTTTTTCTCGAAAGTGTTAGAATTTTTTTGAATACAGAGATTTATAGCCCAATCAATTTTAGTCTGATAATGGGCCGTATGAAAAAAAATTAAGCAATTGCTTTTTCTTAAAATTGCTTACCTTTTACTTCAATTTTGTTTGAACAAATTGAGTAAAAGATCTGAAATTGTCAGAAAAAGCAATTGCTTATTTTTATTCATACGGCCCATTATCAGACTAAAATTGATTGGGCTATAAAACTCTGTATTCAAAAAAATTCTAACACTTCCGAGAAAAAAGTTTAAAATTTAGGTGAAAATTTGTTGCACTTTTTTGTAGTTTTCTTTAAATTCTTATACTTGGGTTTATATGGGTTTTGTTAGAAATAGAACTGTATTTTAATATCACTTTGAATGACGTGCTATAGATATTATCGATACTGTATATAATTACTTTGAAGCAGACGACGATTATCACCTAATAAGAAAAAGAGATTTCAACCAAACCTCGCGATCAGCTCGTTATATGTTACAACTTGCGATAGGACCATCATCAGTTTTTAAAACTTTATTCCACTATATATGCCCTACAGATGAATAATAATGTACACGCAATTATGATAATGATGAAATAAAAGCCAAGCTGCGACGCGAAGAATTATACATGCTTTGATACACACCCCAAGTAGTGCAAAATAAAAAAACTGAAATTACCGGAAAAAGGTATTCTATATGTTAATATAGGCAATAAGCTACCTACGTACCAAATTTGTAGCAAATCGAATCATAAATACGATTTTTTTCGAATAGATCGGTCACTGGTCCACTTCCCGGGAAAAAAGTATTCTGCATGTTAACCTTGGCAAAAAGCTACCTACGTACACAATTTCAAGCAAATCGAACCGTAAATACGATTTTTTCGAATAGATCGGTCCCTGGTCCACTTCCTGAAAAAAAGTATTCTATGTGTTAGTCTACGCAAAAAGCTACCTACGTACTCAATTTCAAGCTCATCGAACCATAAATAAAATAGTTTCGAATAGATCGGTCCCTGGTCCACTTCCCGGAAAAAAGTATTCTGCATGTTAACCCTGGCAAAAAGCTACCCACGTTACAAATTTCAAGCAAATCGAACCATATATACGATTTTTTCGAATAGATCGGTCCCTGGTCCACTTCCTGGAAAAAATGTATCCTATATGTTAACTTAAGCAAAAAGCTACCTACGTACCAAATTTCAAGTAAATCGCACCATAAATAACACTTTTTTGAATAGATTGGTCCTGGTCCACTTCCCGGAAAAAAGTATCACATAGTATGACCAATGTCAAGTAAATCGGATAGTCAGTTTGGGAGTTCATCGTGGGCAACAACGTGTCACGAGAATTATATATAATAGATTTTACCTTGTTATTTGCGAAAATCTTGGATCGCGTTCTAATGCCAAAAATGAGTGGGACAAAAATTGAGCTCCAAACCAAGGAAAAGCTAGAAGCGGCGGCGTTTCTTTATCCTTATGCATCTGTATTAAATGGAAGAAATGTGAGTAATGAAGTACAAAACGACGAGTATTAGTAGTACCTGATGTAGTTTGGAAACCACTGCTTCAGACACAAATAAAACCTCGGAGATCAAGAAGACTTGATTGCCATTTATCAGCGTGTAGTCTGACATAATAGATACATTGTTAACACTTGGACTGGCTGAAAGATAAAAAGAAATAAAAAATACACATACATATGCGGTTCAAAAGAATATATATACCCGAGCGCTCTTGTATACAACGGTATTATAACTTTGTTCACATAACGGTTGTTTGTAACAGGCAAAACGAATCGAGATAGATATATGTAGACAAATGTATACATAAATGATCAGAATGAAAAATTAAATCGATTAAGCACTGACTGTCGTTCCACCCGTCCGTCCATCTGTGTACACGATAACTCGAGTAAAAATTGAGATATCTTAGGAAACTTGGTATGTGTACTTCTTTTCAGCATAGGACGCAAAATCGGACAATACCACGTCTACCTCCCATGTAACGGTAGTCTTCAGAAATACAAAAACTGCGATATTTTATTAACTACTGAAGCTTATTCTCTCAAAATTGATATTTGCAATAATTTTCAGACGAAAAATAAGAATATTAAAAGGGTGGGGTCCTCTCCCCCCTTTTATGGGTCATGGCGATTAATGAGTTATTGCAGACTCTGGAAGGGGGGGNCAAAATTTCCGCAAACTCTGTGTGACATTATGCAGGACAGACTAAGGTTAATCGAAAGATGGACCAAGGAGAAAGGTCTGGGTGTTAACCCAGACAAAACGTACCTGTTACTCTTTACCAGGAAGCAGAAAATCCCCCCACTTCAGCTCCCTGCCATAGGCAATAGGATTCTGAAGCTAGTGGAGTCCGCAAGATATCTTGGCGTAGTCCTGGGCAAAAAGCTGAACTGGGCGCAAAATATACAAGAGCGCGTTAAAAAAGCGACGGTAGCCCTCTACAGCTGTAGAGGGGCGTAGCTGGGGGCTCTCCCCTAGCATCATGCACTGGCTATACACGGTGGTTGTTAGGCCGATTCTATTATATGGGGTCTTGTTACGGTGGCCAAGTCTCAACAGGAAACCTACGACTGAAGTACTCAAAAGGGTGCAAAAAACTGCGATGCTCTGCATCTGTGGGGCTCTGCGCACAACTCCATCGGAGGCTATTGGTTGGAAAACAATCAGCGGGGTTTGCCGCCTTGAGGCTGAGGGAACTGCCAAGCTGGAGGAATATTCAGGAAGGCCACACCGCAATCTTAAAAAATGTAAATATACCGGACACGGACTACTGTGCACCAAGGTTGAACTTGACAAAGAGGTATAGGATTTCCATTCCAGATAGAAAATTCTGGTCGGGAGGGGCTCCTGACGACAATGGATCCCTCCACCTCTACACCGATGGCTCCAAGCTAGACGGCAAGGTAGGAGGGGGAGGGGGGTCTTCTCAGCCCGGTTGGGCTGGAAATATGTTTTCGCTTACCTAGCCATTGCAGCGTCTTTCAAGCTGAAGTCGCTGCTATACAGGAAGCGGTTGAACACCTACGTACAAGAGAAGTCAGCTACAACGATATCTTCATCTACTCAGACAGTCAGGCCGCAATCAAAGCGCTCGACTCGGTCACATGCAATTCAAAAACCGTAGCGGACTGTCGCAGATCTTTAAACGAGATGGCTGAGCAGTCTGCGCTTCACTTGGTGTGGGTTACGGGGCACCGGAACATACCAGGCAATGAAAAAGCAGACGAACTTTCAAGGGAGGGCACATCCGCTCCACTTTCGCAGGCCTGGAAGGGATTAGGCGTACCGCTGGCTACCTGCAAGCTCATTCTAAGGGATCTGTCTCTTAAACTAGCAGGGGACATGTGGGATAGCCTAACCACTTGCAACAACACGAAGCTTACATGGCCAAAATGGGACAAAAAGCGGTCGAAGGACCTTCTCATGCTAAGCAGAGGGGACCTAGCTGAAGTTGTGGGTCTGCTAACAGGCTATGTTGCTATTGGAAGGCACGCGGAGAGGTTAGGGGTCCCCCATAACGACTTCTGCAGAAGCTGCAGGAATGAAGAAGAGCCAGAACTCGTGCGGCACCTGCTATGCGATTGCCCCGCACTTTGTAGAAGAAGACAAAAGTTTATGGGTTCAGGATTCTTTGAGGACCTAACCGACATAGCCGAAGTAGGCGTACGGCAACTTCTGGGTTTCGCGAAATACACGATGGTTTGAGTATCGTGGTATCACAACGGGCCCACAACTAAGGGTCTATGTGTGCTAGTGGGGTCACTGACAGCCACTTCAACCTAACCTAACCTATCGACACCATGAGCTCGATGCCAGAATGAGTACTCAGTATTGATACCAAAGTCTGAAATTTTGAACCCTAGTTCTAATGCTCTGGTAGTTACTCTCGTGAAACTGGTAAGGAAAAATAATATTCATGTAAGTCCTATTAAAAAGGGTAATATACACGAAGTGAAAATTCAGGCTCAAAACGAATATGTCTTTCGTAAAATTACCAACGAGTTTGATGAGTGTAAGAAATCTTACTACGCCTACCAACTTAAAAGTAGTCGAGGACTAGAAGTTGTCATAAAAGGCATCGAGTCCAGCGTAAACTCACAAGTGATAGAAAATGCTCTTAGGGAAGACGGTTTTAAGGTGCGCAATGTTTTCAACATCAAAAATAAAGAAAACATCCCTGAGCCGATGTTCAAAATAGAGCTAGAACGTGACTTTCATAACCTGGAGAAAGGGGAAGTGCATCAAATATATCAATTGCGATATCTTCTACACCGTAAAATCTCCGTAGCAGAATCCCATAAGCGTAGACGCCATGTTCAATGTCATAACTGTCAGGAATTTGGTCAAACTCGTTGCAACTGCACCTTACCTGGTGTCTGTGTTATATGCGGGAACTTACACACTTCTAAAGAATGTGTGAATCCAAAAATGGACCCGAAATCCAAAAAGTGCAGTGACTGCGGTAGAAATCACACTGCAAATTACAGAGGTTGTCCAGTTTATATCTCAATGAAAGAGAAAACAATTCCCAAAAATATTCCTATTAGGCATAACCCCATACCAGAAATCGCTAAGCCAATGCCTGCGCCATTGACTGTTAATAATTTTACTTCTTATTCAGAAATGCTGAAAAATACTCCTCCAACACAACCACTTTTTGGTCCGAATAGTAGTAACCTACACTGAAAAGAAAATCTGCGTAAATATAACGAAAACTTGCGTACATTTTACGAAAGTTTTCGTCATTTTGAGCCTCGAAAGTTTTCGTTGATTGTACAAAACCGTTTTCGTACATACTACGAAAATATGAGACATCAGATCTTAGTACATTTTACGAACGTATTCGTACTATTTACGAACGAATTTCGTACTACTTACTAAAGAATTTCGTACTATTTCTTTATTTTTTTACGAAATTTTTGTAAAATGCACAAAACTTCGTATATTTAACGAAATTAGTTTCCTAAAATCTGCGGTTGTTTCGTAGAACTTCCGATTGCTTTCATTCACCACACTGTAAAAAACATAAGACGAATTCTAACACAACACTTTTATTTTGTTTTTATTCCTGGTTTTAAGCGTTTTTCTTTAACAAAATGTTTTGCAATGTTTTTATGTGGAGGTACTTGGCAGATTCGCAGCTTCTTCGATGTTTGTTTCCTTTCTCGACTATAAATTAAAGGAAAATTATATGGCGTCTGAAAGGCAAGTCAAAAATCATACGTGTACTTACTTAAAATTTCATTAAGTAGTGCGTCTTCTCCTGGCTTGGGCTTGCCGTTGATAGCTAACTGATGAAATTGCCTATTTATGAAGTCCCACATTGCAGAGCAAGGCTCAGCGTGGGCGATGTTAAAAACATTGTATGCTTAAAAGCAATTATCCACAGCCTTAACATTTAATTTTATATTGTATTTTTATCCAGCAAAAGCTTCTTAAAACTTTTAAAATTATATTATACGTCTTACAGTAGCCAAACAGTAGTTTCGCAATGACACGCGGTACATAAAAATATGATGAAATATTAAACTGACGGTAATTTAGTATATTGAACGAAAATATTCGTCTGTTGTACGAATTAAAAAAAAAAAAAATTCTGCATTTGTTCTATGTACGAAAGTATTAAGAAATTTGTACGAATACAGAATTGAAGATTTCGTAAATTTTAATACCATACGTAAATATTACGAATGCCTTCGTACAATATACAAAATTATTCGTACAGAGATTTGTTCAGTAATTTACGAATGTGTTTCGTAAAATAAACGTGAGATTTCGTAAATTGTACTGAAAAAAGGTTTAACGAAAGTCCTTTGGTTATATTTACGAATGGTTCGTAAAATCTTGTTTCGTTGTGAAAAATGTGTTCGTATTATGAACGAAAGTTTCGTATATTGTACAAAAACCAAGACTACGAAAGTTTTTCGTAGCACGTTTACGAAATTCTATTTTCAGTGTAGAAGCTACTATAAATAACTTCATGAAAGTTGAGCAGGAGCAAATGATGGCAATGCAGAGCATGGTACAAGATTTGATTAAAAATCAAAATCTTTTACTTCAAGTCATTTTAGCTAAACCATGAATAATCTCGAAAATTTGTTTTTGGAAAGCGAAGGGGCTAACCCAGCATAAAAACGAACTAGAAACTTTCCTAGAGCGCACTCATATAGACGTTTTGCTTGTATCTGAAACACCTTACTCAATTTAATAACTTTCAAATTAATGGGTACAAATTCTATGATACTAAGCATCCACAAGGAAAATCCCGAGGTGGAACAGCACTTTTCATTCGTAACAGAATGAAGTACTATGAATTAGAATCGCAAAGTGATGAGTTCATTCATAATACTGCAATACATAATTGATGACCACTTGGGTGGCCTTACTATATCTGATATATAGATACTGCCCCCCTCGTCATAACATAACGGAAAAACAATTTGATGACTTTTTCCTAAGGTTTGGCAGTAAGTTTATTATAGCAGGAGATTTCAATGCCAAAAATACATACTAGGTCTAGATTGATTACACCAAAGGGTAGAAATCTATATAAAGTAATCCAGAACAGAGGACTTGACGTCTTATCTACTGGTCAGCGAACGTATTGGCCATCTGACCCCCAAATACCCGATCTTATTGA